GATAGAAGCTGGGACATTTTTAAAAGCACCTGAGAAAGTGGCAGGACAGATTATTAATTTGGACTATCCCTGCCAAATTAGGAGAGTTGTGGGGTATAGAATACAAATGCAGGAAATAAAAGAGTTCTAGGTGTGTGAACAATTATCAGTGTCACTCTCTGCTATGGTAGAAATTTGGAGGCCAATGGAAAATTTCACTGGAGGGTAGAAAATTCCTATGGAGGAAATGCTCTCATTTTGCCCTCCTGAAGTTACCCCCCTGTTACTGTAACTATAGTTTGACACTCAGCTTCATTGCAAACAATATAGGAAAAGAAAATGTAGCAATTCACTTGCACTTTCTCTCCTAGAATGATAGAAACCTAGGGATGAGTGATAATTTTGTTTCAGCTTTTTAAAAAATATATATTTGGGGTTTAAAGGGCAGCAACTTGGAGATTTCCTTTAAAGTTCATACTACAACCTGGAGCAGATTTACTACCCCTACTGATACTTGCTTCTTCCAGCTGCCTGTGCTCCTGTACAATCTGCAAATTTGCTTTCTTCTTCTACTTCTTTTGGTCTAACCCTATTCCAAGGGCATTGTGTGCCATGAAAGACATAACTTGTTTATCCTCTCTGTCTCTGTCTCTCTCCCTCTCTTAAAGTGCTGGTTTGCGGCGTTGCGTTGATTATTAAATGAAAACAATCTCAAATATAAACAATGAACAGCGTCAGGGACGTCACTCATCATTCACTAAAGCCGCACACAGAAGCCCCGCCCCCACGCTGATCAGCTGGGCCAGGGCACGTCGGCAGACGCAGGAGTCCCATCCCTGCGCTTATTATCGGGACTCACAGGACTCGCAAAAGTTGCAGGACCCGCCGCCGCCACTGCACAGAAGACGCAGTAGCAGGGTGGCCCGGTACCATTTGTTCTGTGGACCGGTACCGGGCCGCAGACCGGGGGTTGGGGACCACTGTGCTAGGGTCCTGGAAGGATCAGGGCTAAGCCAGCAGGCAGCTGGAGTAGCTGGAGGTATAGCCATTTAAGAGATGCATTGGCTTCTCAATCCTTGCCAAAGCAACATAGTTTTCTGTGCTACCCATAGATGCTCGGATTGTATTTTGCCTTGTTTTGTTAGCTTTGCTGAATTTAAACCTTGGTCTGTCTCCTGCCTTTTGAACTCCTGCCTTGCTGTGTTTAGACTTGGTCTGTTTCCTGACCTTATCTCCTGCCTCTGGCCCATTAGACTCTCTCAGTTCACCATCCATGGCCCTGCCTTGGAATCCAGGATGCCCACACCATAGACCTTGAAATATAGTTGATACCTTTACATCCTGTGCCTTTCAGAGTTCAAAATATTTTAAGAGCCTTTAGTCCAAATCAGTTTCTCTAAGTCATGTAAATGTATTTTTGCATTCATTGTTATCATCATCTTGAATTTAACGTATACAAAGGCTTTCCTATAAAGTAAGATGGAGAGCCTTATCACATGAGAAAAGAAAGCTGAAATGGAGTGGGAAGGTAGTGGCTTACTTTGTGCCTCTCCACATGCTGTTGTAGCATTTATGTTCCCTTCCCAAGGGAGAGGGTCGTAAAATCATTCCCTTTGTCACACTGGAAAAATCAATTTGACAAAAAGTGAGACTTTTATTACTGTCTCCCTCAGGACAAGAAAAGAAATGCTACAATGGCATGTGGAGAGGCACAGAGGAAGCTGCTACTCTCGTGCTTTGTTTCGGCTTTCTTTTCTCATGCGATAACTCTGGGAGAGGCCATCTTTACTATATTATTTTTGATCTCCTTCTACTTTTAACAAACCAGCTGGGGAGAAAAACACACTGGAATGAAGAAAGACTTGAAAAAGAAAAAGAAAAAAAGGAAATGACTGTCAGACACTCCTCTGGTTTTACATCAGGATTTTCTAGACAACTAACAGCTTGGTCAAGATCCTGCATCTCAGACTACAATACGTAACTTTTATGATGACATAGCTACATCTCTGACACGATATGCAACCTTTCTGATGAACTGTGAATAGGACAGTACCTACTGGGGTATCTTGTGTGGTGTCGTGTTGTACAACAGTAGCTCCTGTTGAGTTATCTTGCTTATTGCCCTGTTGTACAATGGGAGCTCCCATTGCACAACAGGACCCATAATGCTAGGGCCATACTCCTGTCTCTACTTGAGCTATGGTCCCAAAGGCATAGCTACATCTCCCCTCCCCTCCTGAGAATAGGAACATTGTGCAATGGCACAGTTAAACCTGATGTGATTGTAAATCAATTTATGATTATGTAACTATGCAGCAATATGTTGTTGTTGTATGCCTTCATTTTGTCCTGGACCTATGAGAATGCCAAGGCAACAGGCTTTTCTTGGGAAGAATTGTTCAGAAGGGTTTTGTATTTGCCTTCCTCTGAGACAGAGAGAGCATGAGTTGCCTAAGGTCATCCAGTGGGTTTCCATGGCCAAGTGAGAATTCGAACCCAGGTCTCCAGAGTCATAGCTTAATGTTCAAACCCACACTGGCAGGATGCCAGCCATCACCTTTTGCTATTACATCTCCTTGTCCTTATGAATTAAGAGGACAGCTTCTGCTGTAAATCTTGAATCTTGTGAATGTATTTAAGGTCCCCAGGAGAGACAGCAGTAAACTACCAGCAGTTGCAAAATGTTGAACTGTCAATGTTCAAGTGCAAACGGTGCAGTGGTAGTTGCAGGAATGAAGTGACAGAAAAATATCCATGCCTATGTGTATGTTAGAGACCATTTTTTCCCGGGAACAGTTGGGGCTGGCAGTGATTAC